CCTTACTTCGGCACCTGGAGGACTGTGGGTATAAAGTGCCTGAAAGGAAAGCCCAGATTTGCCAAAAAGCAAATGCAGTATCTGAGGCTCACCATCTGGAAGGGGGAACGCAGCCCAGAAGCAGAGAGGAAGCAAGCCACTTGCAAAGCCACAGAACCTGAGACTAAAAAGCAGGTGAGAGAGCTCCCGGGACCGGTGGGTTTTGTAAATTGTGGATTTCCAAACTTTGCAGTACTGGCCAGACCCTTACACAAAGTGACAAAGCAGGGGAGATGACAAGACACCCTTAAAAATGGGGCAGAAGCTAAAAGTGAAACTTCTGTTGGCCCTGGCTTTGGGGTTAGCCGATTTTAACACAGCCTTTTCATGCTGTCAAAAAGAAAAAAAAGGAAGGAGAAAAATGGCAATCAAAGTTTCTAGCCTCAACTCTGGGAAGAATTTAAATATCAAAGCAGCCCACACAGCGGAGACTCTAATGAATACCGAAAGACCTCACTGGTAAGCCTGCCAAATACCAGGGCCTGCTATGTGCAGTGGTTGTACAAGCTGTACATGAGACCACTCGTTTAGGTCAAGAGTCACTTGAAAAGATGCTGGGCCGGTACTTTTACATCTCACACTTCTCGGCCTTGACCAAAACTGTGGAACAGCGATGCATTACATGTCCACAATACAACACGAGGCAGGGTCCAACTGTTCCCCCTGGAATTCAAGCTTATGGAGCAGCTCCATTTGAAGATCTCCAGGTAGACTTTACTGAAATGCCCAAGTGTGGGGGACATAAATATTTGTTGGTCTTGGTGTGCAGAGGCCTTCCTGCCAAGGACTGAAAGGGCCCATGAAGTAACCCATGTGCTGCTTCGAGATCTTATCCCTAGGTTTGGACTGCCACTGCGCATCAGATCAGACAACAGACCAGCATTTGTGGCCAATTAGTCTGGAAAACAGCAGCGGTCGTAGGTACACCTGGAAACTGCACGCTGCCTACCAACCTCAGAGTTCCAGAAAAGTGGAAAAATGAATCAGACCATCAAAAACAGCTTAGGGAAAGTGCGTCAGAAAACAAGATTAAAGTGGGTGCAGGCACTTCCCTTGGTGTTATTCAAAATTAGAGTCACGCCCTTTAGGAAAAACAGGATATTCCCCTATGAAGTCTTATACCATAGGCCTCCTCCCTACTCTGGGCACTCCTAGGAACTCCTCAGGAGTGCGGAGAGATTGAGTTAGGATGCTAGTTACTAGCCCTAGGGAGAATCGCTTGGGATATTTCAACCTGAGTGAGTAAGAGATGTTCTGTAAGCCTTTTTCTCCCCAGTTCACCCTTTCTCACGAGGTAATCATGTGTGGATAAAGGACAGGAGTACAGCCCCTCTAAAGCCGCAATGAAAAGGACCTCAGACCTGCTCCTGACCAATCCCACAGCTGTAAAGGCAGAGGGAATCCCAGCCTGAGTCCACCACAGCCGTGTTAAAAAAAAAAACAGCAGTACCTGAGACTTGGACCAAGGCAACGACTGCAGAATCACCTTAAGAAGGACAAGCCTTGCTCCAGACACTTCCCGGAAGCTGGCTGGTCCACGCACGGCCGAAGCATGAGGAGATTCATTGTGGGACTTGTTCTTCTTAATATTTGGACTTGTACAGTAGGAATATTAACTAATTTTGAAGAATGCCCTCAGTATGTACACCAGGTAGGGCGTAAAAGTTACTGCCATTCTTTTGTCCGATAGTTCTTATAAATGTACAGGGGAAGCTGCTTATATAATGGTACGCAATATGAGGTGTAGTCGTCCATGAGATGGACAGGTGGTGTGTCATAGGCATCGTTAAGCCCCCTTTCTTCCTATTATCTGTTAAGACAGGTGGGCTGTTAATGTATTCAGTCTACCCTGCTAGAGAGAAAAAGAAACCTAAAGATAGGAGAATGGACAGATAATGAGTGGCCACTGGAGAAAACTATTAAGTATTATGGGCCGGCCACATGGGCAGAGGATAGCTCATAGGGACACCAGACCCCTATTTACATGCTCAACCGGATCATCCAGTTGCAGGCTGTTTTGAAAATACTAATAAAACGGGCAAAGCTCTGTATCTTTTAGGCCAACAACAACAACAACAAAACTCAAATGAGAAACATGATTTATCAGAACCAGCTGGCCCTAGATTATTTGCTGGCAGCCAAAGGAGGAGTCTGTGGAAAATTCAATCTAACCAACTGCTGTCTGCACACAGATGACCAGGGGCAAGCAGTGAAAAGTACTGTGTGAGACATGACCAGACTGGCACACACCTGTACAGGTGTGCCACTGATTTAACCCTGAGTCCTTATTCGAAGGTTGGTTCTCATCCTTGGGAGGATTCAAAACCCTCACCGGAAGTGTTATAATAATAATAATAATAGGTGTCTGTTTGTTGCTCCCTAGTCTACTCCCCCTGTTCCTTCAAATAATTAGGGGCTTCATCACTACTGTAGTTAGCCAAAAATGACATCACAAGTATATTATATGAAGCATTATCAGTTTCTTCAAAAAATGTGGAAAGTGAGAATGAGAGTGAGACCTCTCACTGATATCATAAATGGTGAGGGTCTCAAAGGGGGGCTGAAGAGGGAGACCCGGGCTTCTCAGATCAACTTCCCCCTTGACTACCAGGCTGCATTTCAATAGAAGAAAAGGTTGACTGACTGGTGCCTCCGGTTTTACCTTCCTATGGGTGACAGGCTAGGCCTTGGGGAAACTCTCCAGAATGCGCTATTTTTACTTAAAACAAGACTAAACCAGAAACCTTTTCATATGTGAGTCCTAAAACTATGAACCTAAGATTCTTCCACGAGTAGCATCTAAAGTATAAGTCTATCTAGAGGCTGAACCTCCCTTTGTTAGACGAGCTTGGCTGTTAGGCTCCCAGCTGAGTAAACCTTTCTCCTGTATTCGGTGTGAGTCCGTTTCCCGCGGCCGCTCCCGCTACAACCGGCAGCGCTATTCTAGATTCGGGATCCAACACTAAAAGAAGCAAAGTGGATCTTGCGTTACACTAATTAGTTTATGTATTACGGTATAATTCAGAAATTTTAAAAGACATTTCTGTCTCTCTACTAGGTTTGTACCATAAATTTCTAACAATAAATTCCTGAACAATTCCTATTGAGAATTCCTTCTTTATCAGCAAGGATTTTTTAGGCTATTACCACCTCCTCGAATGACAGAAGTTGCAGTGTCAAGGGCCAAGAGGGAAAGATAAAAGGGAGCCTAAACCTGAGGCTTTGTAGGGGGATTGTGTACCACATTTCCTAAGATATACAAATGTCATAGTCAGCAACATAATAGAATTCAAGTTCTAGAAGGAGGTGACTGAGAAGGCTCCACTTCAAACCTTTACAGCAGGGAGCATCACTGAGTTTAGACAATGGGTGCTGCAGGTGGCATTTTAAGCCTCCAGAGGTGAGCCCCCTGTGGAGCCTGCAGATACTCTTTACATGCCTGGTGGGCCTGTGCCTCCCATCACCAGTTGCAATGGAATGTACTCCTGCCCTTCTGTACTCCTACCCACCACCTCCACCTGAGTTCTATCCAGGACCTCCTATCAGGGACAGGGCCATGAGACAGGTGCAACCCCATAGCAGGCCCCTATCTTGGGGCCCTGGAACCTCCTGACAGAAGCCCCACAATTCCCTCCACTCCTGCAACCAAAGCCAAGCAGCAGCTGCCAGAGGTAGGAGTTTTAGGGATATGGCTCAATCCCTCCCAGAATGGCCCTTCAAAGCAGAGGTGGTAAATCTTTCATTTCAAGCTTTTCCATATATATTACCTGTATACTTATCTATTCATGCAATTTGAGATAGTCTGCCTTTTTTCTCCTCTAAAAAGTAGGTCTAGTATTTACTTCTCAGAGTTGTAACATTGGATAACATATATAAACATTTTTTTCTTTTTTTAATTTTAATACCAGAGAGCACCTGGATATATAAACATATTATTATTACTGATGTTTAAAAAAAGTGTTGGGCTAAGCAAGCTGGCTCACATCTGTAATCTCTGCACTCTAGGAAGCCAAGGCAGAATTGCTTGAGGCCAGGAGTTTGAGATCAGCCTGGGGAAGTACATGGAGGCCCCATCAGTCAGTCAGACAGTCACAAATACGTTGGTTTTCACATGTGTGTGTTCTTCATTAGCAATGAGAACACTGCTGATAAAGGCATTACAATAGGTAGGACAAAATGAACCACTGGGAATGTGTATGGCTAGCACAAATAGCAGGTGGCTGCGGCTGCCATCCTTAGTGCCATAAGGTCACTATATCATCTAGATATAAAACCCAGAACCAATCTTTTAAATCCAATGACTCAGGCCAGAATTAAAGGTTATCTAAAAAATGGCTTAAAACAGTTTACAGATATTCCATTAGTAAAAGTGTAGCTCAAAGTTTCTTATGATTTACTAAAACTTTATGGTAATAAAGTTCAGATCCAGGTAATATCTTTAGAAAGGGTCAGAATCCTTTTTTGGCCGCTGTCTCTAGCCATTAAACTTTATCAGCTCTATCAATACTAAGAACAACTAAACACTAAAACTAACCTAATACGAACAAGGAACAAAGGGAATTACAGATACAGAGACGAGGAAATGGGAGAGAGATTTAAAGGGAAAAGGATTATTGTATTTGGTACTTGCAGGCTGCCAACCATCACTGACATGCTTGTATACTCTTTTCTGCCACCTATTTCTCCAGTTTGTTTTGTGAGCCGAGTTTCCAAATCAAGCAAAGGGGTACCTCATATCGTCATTAAGTGAAATGTCAACATATCAGAGATGCTTCTAACACATGTGATATCATCATACAATTTTTAAAAAGGAACCCCCTCTGGGTGGAACAACTTTAAAAAGGGCATTTTTCCCTCTGGTTCCCCACTCATCCCGTGAGCTGGACACAACCTGCACAACCCTACGCTGCCGCCTTGCCTCCAAACGAGGTGAATCCTGTGGCGCAGAGCACATCGCTTACTTTTAATAAGATGCTGATAGCACAAGCCACACCAACCGATCCACTTCCTACAATGGAGATCTTATTGTGATGAATGGCCTTCTCCTCAGCGACATTCTTAATAAGTTCACCCTTGACAGTTGCCATCCTGGAAACCTAACAATGAAAACAAATTGCACAGCCATTTCCAGACCTGGAGTTGGTCTGTGGTGAGAGCGCGTATGGAGAGCTCCTGGGCCCCCGTGCGGAAAGACCTGCTGCGAACACCCAAGAGACCGACAAATCTGACCAGCAAAGAAGCTGGGTAGGTTCTAGCCAGGCAGCTCAGCCTCCATGAAGCGGACCAGGGGAAGAAGAAGAAAGCGGGAACAGTTAGGAGTTAAAGAGAGAGGAAAGAACAGGGGCTGCTGCACCAAATATGAGACTACAGCTGGGAAGGTTCTCTGTCCCGCAGCTGACTCCCTTTTCTCTCCCTTTCCCCTCCTTTTCCCCCAACCTCCAGTTCTCAGCTCCAGGACTGCACCCAGGGTCCGCAGGCCACACTCACAGGTGAAGGGCCAGCCTCACCCGAGCAGGTCACATACCGCCTGGCGGAGACACGGAGCCATCCTTGTGCAAAAACAATCCGCTCCCGCAGCGCCCGCTCTCTGGCTGCTCCGCAGAACACTTGCAGCCCAGCTCATGGCCACTCACTCAAGAGGTGAAGAAAGAGAATGGAGTAAAGCTCGTCAAGGCACGAAGGTCAACCACGGACTGACGGACCGTGGTCACCGCTTTAATGCAGCTGCGCACACCGCACCCAGCTCGTGCAGGCATCGCAGGTATGATGCCCAGCAGGTGTGAGGCCTGGCAGGTGAGAGGCCAGAAGCAGGCTGTGGAGCACTGCGCCTGCGCCTCTGCCTGCCTGCCCCGCCCCCGCGTGCAGGTGGACACGCTGCGAGGTAGGTGGTTGACCAGCTGCAAAAGAGGCGCGAGGTACGGCAGGCACAATGCACTGCAGGGCCTCTGGTGTCAGGCGGAGTTGTTTGCCTAGAACCCATCCACCAGAGAGCCCAAGTAATTTTATTTCTAACAAAATCTTGTCTGGATGTATCTAAAAAGGTCTTTTTGACTCTCATTTGGAAATTTTTCCCCAGCATGGTAGGAGAAAGGGACCTCAAGACTACTTATTACAACCTCAGCTGTGAGCTAAAGTAGAAAAAGTAAAAATTTAAAACTCTGGCCCTGGCGCGGTGGCTCAAGCCTGTAATCCCAGCACTCTGGAAGGTCGAGGCGGGCGGATTTCCCGAGGTCAAGAGTTCGAAACCAGCCTGGCCAACACGGTGAAACCGCCTCTCTACTAAAAATACAAAAATCAGCTGGGCATGGTGGCGCACACCTGTAATCCCAGCTACTTGGGAAGCTCAGACACAAGAATCATTTATGAACCTGGGAGGCAGAGGTTGCAGCGAGCTGAGATCGTGCCACTGCACGCCAGTCTGGGTGACAGAGCGAGACCATTTCAAAACAACAATGACAACAAAACTCTGTTTGCAAAAGGAATTTTGAAAAACAATATGAAACCTGAAGAATTTGATGAGTGCCAATTGATAACCATTTTTACAAGGTGAAGGAAAAGCTCAACTCATTAAGTAGTTAAATCCACACTTTGGGAGGCTGAGGCGGGTGGATTACCTGAGGTCAGGAGTTCAAGACCAGCCAACATGAAGAAACCCCATCTACTAAAAACACAAAATTAGCCTGCCGTGGTGGCACAAGCCTGTAATCCCAGCTACTCTGGAGGCTGAGGCAGGAGAATTGCTTGAACCTGGGAGGTGGAGGTTGCAGTGAGCCGATATCATGACACTGCACTCCAGCCTGGATGACAGAGTGAGACTACATCTCAAAAATAAAAAATAAAAATGTAGACTCCAAAATCGGTCTGGAATTAAACCAAGGTTTCTATTTCTCTTACCACATTTTACCTGTTTTGTAACTCATTTGTGAATCATGTAATTTTGATGGTTAATATTAGGTGTCAACTTGATTGGACTGAAGGATACAAAGTGTTGATCTGGGTGTGTCTGTGAGGGTGTTGCCACAGGGAATTAACATTTGAGTCAGTGGGCTGGGAAAGACAAACCCACCCTCTATCTGGATGAGCACCATCTAGTCAGATGCACACCTGGGATAAAAGTAGGCAGAAGAACGCAGAAGGACTAGATTGGCTAAGTCTTCCAGCCTTCATCTTTCTTCTATGCTGGATGCTTCCTGCCCTCAAACATCAGACTCCTAGTTCTTCAGCTTTGGAACTCCGATTGGCTTCCTTGCTCCTCCGCTTGCCTATTGTGGGACCTCACCTTGTGATCATGTGAGTTAATACTCCTCATTAAACTTGCGTGTGTGTATATATATATACCTCCTATTAGTTCTGTCCCGCTAGAGAACCCTAATATAGTGATACACGTTGACAAATTTTTCTAAAACGTAGAGCAGTGTTTTTCAGTCTTTTTTCATTATCATTCCCTCAAGAGCCTTTGTAGATATTTTCCCCCTAATTGTTTTGCACCCCCCATCATGAAATTAAGTATTAAGGAGTTAAGATTTGGTCAAGCAGGGTTGAGCTTTGGAGAGCCAAACTCTTGTAATATCTAAGATTTAAAAAAAAATATTTTCCTTCCTCCCTCCTCCCCACAACCAATTTTCAGCCACTTAAGGAAAAAATTGGCCTGTTGAGAATACATGATGTAGAGCAGTTTTACTCATTAGAATGTTCCCTGTAGAAACTGTTATCAATTTTTCAGCCTTGTAATCTCTGCAAGAATTTCCTAAAATGAAGTTTTGATGTACAAATGAGCTTTGAAAAAAGCCAAAACCCACAGAAGACTCCCCTTGCCCCCATCCTAACTGATAATAATTTTATACATTCAAGGGAAGATTCTGAAGAAAAAGGGAAAAGAATAAAATAATGGGAAACTAATCATGTTCAGGAATAGATGACCAGAATGAAAGCTATCAAGACAGCAAGAATAATCAACTATGAGGGTAAACCATGACACTCTGACCAAATGAATCTGCCTCCACTAGTCATCTGAGTCCTCAGGGTCTGCATATCTACCTTCTAATCTTTCCCACTGGTCTAGTTTTAGTCATAATTTGTAAATTGGCCAGGAGTGGTGGCTCATGCCTGTAATCCCAGCACTTTGGGAGGCCAAGGCAGGAGGACCCCTTGAGCCCAGGAGTTGAAGACCAGCCTGAGCAACATGGCTAAACCTTTTCTCCAAAAAAAAAAAGAAAATTTGCAGGATGTGGTGGCATATGCTTGTAGTCCCACCTACTCAGGAGGCTAAGGTGGGAGGATCTGTTGAGCACTCAAGTTCAAGGTTGCAGTGAGCCACAATTATACCCCTGCACTCCAGCCTGGGTGACAGAACAAGACCTTGTCTAAAAAAAGAAAAAAAAATGGTAAATTATCTTGATATCGATTTCTTAGTTTTTTATTGTATTGTATAGTTCCAATAGCTGCCTTAAATTCTTTGCAGAATCAAGGAAATATTTCATATGTATGTATATACTATATGTTGAGAAACATTCAGTTTGCTCCACCCCCGTGGCTTTCTTGTGGAGAATACCTTTTAGTTTGTAATTAGTAGTAGGCAGGTAACAGCTGCCTACTCGGAATATTTATGAGTTATGAGTAAATACAGAACACCAGTTTATTAATAAGAATCACCTGTTAAGAGAGAATACATGGATGAGAATCTGCTCAGGGCCTTCAGCCTGGAATGCTGTCAGCCCCTGAGGCTCTCAGTTTGATAGGCTGCTGGTTCCCTAGAGAGATCCACTCTGTTGTTCTATCTGGGTGTCTGCATCTCATTACCTTCAGTGCCGCCTGGGTGGGGGGGTCTCCTGACCAAGCTGGTACTCGGTAACTATATAAGTCAGTAGAAGCACTTCACCTTTAGACACTAAAAGGGAGCTAATAATGACTATTATCAAATATTAGTCAATAATCTGCTGGGTGGAGTTGCTCACACCTGTAATCCCAGCATTTTAGGAGGCTGAGGCAGGCAGATCACTTGAGGTCAGGAGTTTGAGACGAGCCTGGCCAACATGATGAAATCCTGTCTCTACTAAAAATACAAAAATTAGCTGGGCGTGGTGGTGTGTGCCTGTAATCCCATCTACTCAAGAGGCTGAGGCAGGAGAATCATTTGAACCCAGGAGGTGGAGGCTGCAGTGAGCTGAGATTGCACCACTGCACTCCGCCTGGGCAACAAAGCGACACTGTCTTGAAAAAAAGTAATGATAAATGCTTATTTTTAAGACCATATATACCAAAAAGCTGGAATTACAGGTACCCAACACTGTGCCTGGCTAATTTTTTTGTATTTTCAATAGAGATAGGGTTTCACCATGTTGGCCAGGCTGGTCTCGAACTCCTGACCTCAGGTGATCCACCCACCTTGGCCTCCCAAAGTGCTGGGATTACAAGCATGAGCTACCATGCCCAGCCACATTTATAATGATTATATATAAACATATGACACTAATGCAATATGAAATGAATATGCTGATACTCTAATGGACAAAAGTACAAAATAAAATTGTAATACTAGGAAAAGGGGTTTGTGAAAAGAATCAAAGTTCTATATTATAATGATTATACATATTCTACATCTGAAGGCATTCTTACATATATGACACCTCAGAAGTATAACTTACACCTGTACAGATTGGGTATCATTAGAATAGAGCTATAAAGGAGTCTTAAAGAGACTTTCCTTGTTCTAATCTTGAGAGAGTGGAGTTATGTCATAGGTCTCCAATTTTTATTTTTTAAAGATCAAATGAAAATACTTTCAAAATTTATACAGTCAATTATCCTCTTTCTCCAAACAGTAGAACATTAGAAGGCTTTAAAATATCAGATCCTTTTGAATATTCAAAAGTGTTTCTGCACTCTTCTTGAAAAGGGCCTCCTCCTCAGGATTCAGGTTAATTTTCACAACATCTGAGACACCATTCCGCCCCAAGACACAAGGGAGACTGAGAAAGAGTTCTTCTTTTATTCCATATAATCCCTGAAAGGCAAAAGTAGATTATTGTTCAAGTACCCGGATATGGAAAAGGAGCTGTGCAAAAGGGCATCAGAATAAGAGTACATAGTAGAGACTAAGGCACTCAATGTGCATTGCTCAGAGGGCAGCAGAGTGATGAGCAGCAAAAGCAAGAGCAGCCTTACGTCCTATGGCCATGTGGAGCTTACATTCAATGACATAAACAAGATGCCAGAGGCCTTTAGAAGGACCAGAAAGGTACAATTTACCTTATTCCTTACCAGGTCATCTTTCTGTCCCAAGGAAGGATGCCATGCAGTCCTTCATGATGCCATTTTATCAGATGAAGGAC